TTAGGAAACATAATATTCCACTCAGGATTCGTGACGCCTCTATCAAGGCGTTCTCTGATTTCCCCCCTTTGCCTGGTGAAAATGTCTCCGGTATAACCAATGTTCGCAAGACCACAGCCCGCCAGAGCGTCTTGGAACGCTTGTATATGTCCCTGAGGGCGTGCTCGCCCCCTTCCTTCTCATGATGAAATAAAATCTCGTTAAAATCACCCAAGGCCAGCCAGGGGAGCGAACTGCTACCATGTAACGAGCGTAGCGCCCCCCATGTTTGGTCCTTGTGATCCCAATCGGCTCTCCATATACTCCAGTTAGCCTCCATTCATCTCCATCCTTGACTACCACATCAATAAAGTACTTAGAAACATCATTTAGTTGAATTACCACATCCTTCCTCCACAGCATCAAAAGCCCGCCACTGCGACCATCACTCTCGTGGATGATGTAATGATCACATCCCAAATGTCTCTTCAAATTTTTTGCCTTCGCCTTCGCCTTCCCCAGATGCGTTTCAGACAGGAAAAACACATCTGGTTGCTCTCGCTTCTAGATTTCCAAAAGCGCTCGAACTGCCTGGGAGCTAGCTAGCCCCTGGCAGTTCCATACTAAGAGTTTCATTGCGCCCGGTCACCCTCCTCGTCAGAGGGCGCCGATCCAAACAAAGGGTTATTTGTAACATCACCAACTTCCTTGCTTCTCTTCGATCTCTTCTTCTCTTGCTCCTTCAGAGGGCTCGTTGTCGAAGTGGAGCTCTCCAAAAGATTCACCTGATTTGCCACCAGACCTCTCCCATCTACCTTCGTAACCTCTCTCTTTTTGGACGCTAGAGCAGCATCCAATTTTTCCTCATCATCAGCTGAGGTCTCCATGTCTTTAGCCTCCTCTTCTGCCCACTAATCACGGCCCCCTACCTCTCCCTCGCCCTCTACCTCTACCGCCACCTCTACCTCTTCCTCCTCTGCTATCCTGTCTTCCACCAATAGACGGTGGAAACGATACTCTGAACCAATCACCCCATTCACACTCATCTTTCCCATGCACCCCATCTCCACATTCAGCAACTTCATGGCCCATCAAGCCACACCTGAAACAAAAGCTCGGAAGCTTCTCGTATTGCACCAAATACATCATCCTCTCCTTGATAGCGATAGGCACCACACGCACTAGAGGTTTATTTAGATCAAGAAAAACCCTAGCATGGAGATAGGGCGCAGGATTAATCCTGCCTTCATTAACGATCACGTGAATGGGATCCCCCACTTTCCTCGCTACTTTTTCTGCCAACTCCCTCTTCTTCATCAAGCCATCCGGTACTCCTTGAACACGAGTCCAAACTGGAATATGTTTGCACACTAGAGAAACCATCATACTCTTCGATCACCATCGCAGCTCCTCGAAATAGCCAGGGCCCTCCTTCCATCATTCTAGTCCAATCACCAAGGCAGTGCATTTGAACTAGAAAGAGATTTCCACCGAGAACCTTGAACGTTACCTCCTTTGCTGCTGCCCATGCTATCCGCATGGCACTGAACAGAGCCGCATGACTGAACGGCTTCGATGTATGAACCCTAAACAGGGCAAGCCAGCGTACATCCTTGACGAGCTCTTCAAACTCCTCCGAGAAATCAAGATCCTCCTCTTCTTCCCCTTGCAAATTCATCCTTCCCAGCCGCTCCTCCAAGCTGGGTTCCTTTGGGTCCTGATCCATAGTCTCACCCACTGCTTCTTTCTTCTCCTTTGGTTCCCCCTGGATGCCCGCCATGCAACGATCGCCGACGGAAGCCGGCGGACGCGGGGCGCTCTGTACTCACGGATGCTCCAGGAGCATTCGTTGCCCGCGCACGAACAACGCGCCAAGGAGTAGTAGGCAGTAGTACGAACCGACCCGACCCGACCCGGCATTCGTTGCCTGCTCGATCCTACTACGTACGTCGGTTGCGCCTCCGATCGGCGATCGATCTGGATTCGGATCCATCTCGGCCGGCCGCCATTAATGGCCGCCACGTAACGGCGCATGCATGCATGGGCAATCGAGCGTCGTGCCCATCCGGCCTGGGCGTTCGTTCCATTGAATGCGCGACCGCGTGGGGACGGGGACGGGACGGTACGACGTCGCATGATCCTGGGCAGCCATAAATCCACCTCCGGATCCATCGAAATCCAGCACGTAGCAACCCATTAAACTCGCACTGTGCGTGCCACCGCTCTCAAGAGTGGTCGTGTACCATTCGGCCAACCAAACCCCTGTTGCAGTGCAGTGAAGTTAGTAATTTCAAATTCTCCTGTCCTGTCACATTCCTCTGAAATTATCCGAACATGCTACACTAACACCCTAGTAGGATATGTTTGGCAGGCCTCTTGATTTTTTCCCCCAATATTTACTGGCATTTTTCAATTGCAGCCGTGGCTGGCTGGCCACACTGCTGTCTTATTGGTGGTCTCGTTTCGTATGGATACACATGCACAGTTGCACACACATGCCATTACGCCACGGTAGTAGTACAAAACACACACGCTCGGCACTCGGCACCTCCGTCCGGCCGGCGGCATATTCGAGCGGAATCCTGCCCGTTTGTCTCTTCCGACGAGCGTACCCAAAAATCGCCCGTTTGGAGCCAGGGCACCACTCCAAACCCAGCAGAAATCCAGACAGCATGCCCCTGCTTGCTTTGTCTCAACCACTGTCCGTTCCGTGACTTGCGTCCGATCAAAAAATTCCCACGAAGGATGCGGTAATAAAAAAAACAAAAAGGAGATTAAGGAGAGCATTGGAAGCTCCAGCAAAAAAGAAGAAGAAAAAGCTGCGACGGCGGGGGCTACACGGCGCGGCAAGGGGTAGTTTCGTCTATGACTGCGGGCTGACTGGCTGGTGGGTGGTGCTGGTGCCGCAGCGCAGCACCGCACCGCACAGCAGCAGAAAAGGCGCGCGGCGGCCGGGCACTGCCGGGCCCACGGCCCGCCCAGAAACAACTGCGCGAGCCTCCCGCCCGGTCCCACCGGACCCGCCCCGCCAGCTGACGTGGCCTGCTGCCGGATGGTAGCCGGAAAAACAAATTCCTCTGCTCGCGCTTTGCGTTACTACGACTTTACGAGTACTGCTCCATACAGGGTTCAGCCGTACTAGTACTTTCCGTTCGATTAGGCCTGGTTTAGTTCAAAAATTTTCACACTAAACTATCACATCGAATCTTGCGGCACATGTATGGAGTATTAAATATAGAAAAAAAAAACTAATTACACAGTTTTGTTAGAAATCACGAGACGAATGTTTTAAGACTAATTAGTCCATGATTAGCCATAAGTGCTACAGTCACTAACATGCGCTAATGATGGATTAATTAGGCTTAATAAATTCGTCTCGCAGTTTTCAGGCGAGCTATATAATTAATTTTTTTATTAGTATCCGAAAACCCCTTCTGACGTCCCGAAACATCTGATACGACATCCAAAAATTTTTATTTCACGAACTAAACACACGCTAACAAAGATTTTCTTGTAGAGATTTGGAATGCCATTTTTTTTGAAACGATGGAATGCCGCTGGTTGGTACTCTACCCATTAGTAGCTCCGTCTATTGTTTTTAATTTCTGTTGGTCCGCTACCGCAGAGATTTGGCATTTCAGTACAGTAAATAAAATCCTTAGGCCCCTGAGATTTGTCCTGTTCGCTTGGCTGATAAGCTATGGCTAAAAGTATTGTTGACTGATTTGTTGTAAGAGAAAAATATTATTCGTTGGCTGAAAAAGTATGGTTTATAAGCCAAACGAACAGGACGTTAGCTGCTCGCCGAATAAAATTTTGCCGAGGACCTGTTTGATCGTTATATAGTTAGTCTGTCTAATGTCTTACTACCATTCATCTAACAATTTCAAGTTGTTTGGCTAGCATTCAGTGCCTGTTTAGTTCCCAAAATTTTACAAATTTTTTCAAGATTTCCCGTCATATCGAATCTTTAGACGCATGCATGAGCATTAAATATAAATAAAAAATAAAACTAATTACACAGTTTAGATGAAATTCACGAGACGAATCTTTTAAGCCTTATTAAACTATGATTGAACACTAATTATCAAATAACAACGAAAGTGCTACAGTACTCTTTCCCAAAAAATTTCGCCAACTAAACAAGCCCTTAGTTAGAGACTTGGCTAATAAATCAACTCACATATTGAATAGACTATATGTCTAGTTTTGGCCAATTTTTAGTTGGAATTGCTATTCAAACAATCCCTTAGCTAGTTTGTCAAGGCTAACATAGTTAATTGTTACCCGGGTGTGTGTGGCTTTTAAAATAGTAATATTATCCCGCTACTACAAGAAGAACCAGAAAAAAAATGTCCGGACCGCGTTCGGCCGGTAGACTTGTGTTTCAGCTTATTTCAGTTTATTCTCTCTCACAAAATACTATTGAATCATCCAAACCATCCGAAATTCACTATTCATCCTACCAATCGAACACAGCGAATTATTTGTACATTTTCGTTTAATTATAAATAAAAAAGTTAAGTAAGCCGGACGCAAAGGGCAGGGAGTAGTATGCAAGTGCAAGGCACGGGACAGGCACAGCCGGGACAGGCACAGCGCTCGGAGGCCCTCCACGTGGCGACCCACCTGGCTCCCACGAGCCGTCGCCAGTCGTCTCGGCATGTGCCGCGCGGGACCCACCACCCCTCCACCTCTTAAATCCGCGCGCCCGTCCACCGCTCCCACCCGCCCACGCATTCCAGCTCTGCTAGCTCAGACACAGGAGGGAGGCGGGGCAGCCAACAAGGCGGGCGCGCAGAGCCACGCCAAAGCGCGGGGAAGCATCCAAGCCCGCGGGCGATCCCGCCGAAGCGTCGTCGTCCTCGGCCTCCTCCTTGTTCCCTTCGTCCCTGCTGTCAGGGATCGCCTCGCGCGCGCTTTATATACAGCCGGCGCGCGTGCCAGGGCTCGCTGCCTGCCTCTGCCTGCACGCACGCACACGCCGAGGCGGAGCTCGCGAGAGAGACCTGCCGGCGGCGATGGAGTGGCTCGATGAGTACGAGAAGCTGGTGATCCGGATGAACACGCCTCGGGTGGTCATCGACAATGCCGTCTGCCCCACGGCCACGCTGGTGCAGGTGAGCCGCGCTCCGCCGTCGTCGCCATCCGTTCCCCGTCTCGTCCTCCGGTTCTTGGTGGCTGACTTTGCATGGGGGCTCTGGTCCGTGGTGCCGCGCTGCAGGTGGACAGCGTCAGGAAGAGAGGGTTGCTGCTGGAGGCCGTGCAGGTGCTCGCCGACCTCGACCTCTCCATCAACAAGGCCTACATCTCCTCCGACGGACGCTGGTTCATGGACGTCTTCCACGTCACCGACCGCCTCGGCCGCAAGCTCACCGACGACAGCGTCATCACCTACATCCAGCAGGTAGAGCGGCCTTTCGCCATCCCGTCCTCCGCCCTCGCCCACGCGTTCCGAAAATGAGCTGCCTTTCGCTGACGCGTTGCTTCGATCTGCAGTCTCTGGGGACGTGGAACGAGCCGTCGCGGCCGGCGGCGCTCGAGGGGCTGACGGCGCTGGAGCTCACGGGAGCCGACCGCACGGGGCTCATCTCCGAGGTGTTCGCCGTGCTGGCCGACATGCAGTGCAGCGTGGTGGACGCCCGCGCGTGGACGCATCGCGGCCGCCTCGCGTGCGTCGTCTTCCTCCGCGGGGAGGAGCTGGCCGCGGGCACGGACGACGACCGCGTGGTGCGCATCCTCGCCCGCCTCGGCCACCTCCTCCGCGGCGACGGGGAAGCCCCGGGCGCCGTGGCCGCCGTCCCTGCCGCGGGCGTCGCGCACGCCGACCGCCGCCTCCACCAGCTGATGGCCGCGGACCTCGACCGCGCGACCTCGTTCCCGGAATTGTCCCCGGCCGTGTCCGTGCAGAGCTGGGCAGAGCGTGGGTATTCCGTGGTCACCGTGCTGTGCCGCGACCGGCCCAAGCTGCTGTTCGACGTGGTGTGCACGCTCCACGACATGGACTACGTCGTGTTCCACGGCACCGTCGACACGGCGGGCGACCGCGCTCGACAGGAGTTCTACATCCGCCGCGCCGACGGGAGCCCCATCCGGTCCGAGGCCGAGAGAGAGAGGCTCAACCAATGCCTCCAAGCCGCCATAGAACGGAGATCACAGGAGGTAAATCGAGTTCAATTACACGATGTTGATGATTTGATGCTAATGTTGGCATCAAAATCGCATTCTTTTACTAGTAGTCAAAGTATTTCCAAGAAACTAATGTCATTGGCTGCATCCAGGGCGTGAGACTGGAGCTGTGCACGCCGGACCGGCCGGGGCTGCTGTCCGAGGTGACGCGGACCTTCCGCGAGAACGGGCTGCTCGTCGCGCAGGCGGAGGTGTCGACGAAGGGCGACCTGGCCTCGAACGTGTTCTACGTGACCGACGCGGCTGGCAAGGCGGCGGACCAGAGCGCCATTGACGCCGTCAGGGAGAGGGTCGGCGCGGATTGCCTCGTCGTGAGCGAGGAGCCCCGGCCGCCGCAGGTGTTCCAGAAGGACGGGCCGAGCGACAGCGACCACGGCAGCGTCGGCGTCAGCGTTGGGCTGGTCTACCTCGGCAACCTCGTGAAGCGGAACCTGTACAACCTCGGGCTCATCAAGTCCTGCTCGTGATCGTGAGGAGGAATGCTCGGATCCAAGAACACACGGACGGTTCAACCTTAATGTGCGTGGAGGGGAGACACGGCATTACTGTACTGCTACATACAAGTTTGAGAAACCGGCACCGACGCCATGGATGGACGGACAGTGGGAGCTGAAGCAGGGTGAAGTTCGGGTCAGGCTGGCATGATGTTGGGAGTCAGGAAGGATGGTCGTCGTCGGTCGTCAGATCCAGGAACCAGCACCGACGCCATGGATGGACGGACACTGGGACGGTGGAGCAGGATGATTAGCAGTAGGAATTTGTGTAGCCATGTACATAGACATTCGTTGCTGTCAGTACTAGTAGCGTGTAGTGAGTGCATTCATCGTGCGTGCCTTTGGGTTTGGGCGGCTTGCACAGTGTGTAGTGGGAGGAGAGGACGATTCGTGATCTGTAATTCCGTACCGGCGCCGCTGTTCTGTCTCCCTGTCAAAACAGCATTCTTTGGGTTCGTTCGTTAACCTCTGCTCGCTCAGTCTTTCTTGTCTGTCCTTGTGTTCTGGCCGACTGTTGAGCGTGGCTGATGCTTTCCTGCTCAAATGTGTTGGATGCATCCATCATGCCGAAATGTGGCTGGCTAATCTTACTAGCTTTTTCGTTTTTAGGATCTGAGGAAAATGTGTGGGTGATGCTTTGTGCTGGTACTATGGATTTTGCTGTGCCCTAGGGCAGAGTCCAGATATGGGTAATCTTGCTTTATCCCAGATGTGGCTAATCTTGCTTTATCATTTTAGGATCCGGAAAGAGGGGGAGGGGAGAGCGGTGGGTTTGGTTGATTAGGTGTAGTAGCTTGCAAGGGAAACAAGGTGATTAGTGGCCTGTTCGCTGGTTGGTTTCTGGCCTGATAAGCCTGGCTGGTGTTGATTTGTTGTGAGAGGAGAACACTGTTGGCTGACTATTAAATTCTGACTGAAACCAATAAACGAATAGACTGATACACTGGTTTGGACAGGGAGGGGGGGAGAGTAATTTGCAATCTGAGCAAAGGCCTGTGTGTGTAGGCTCTAGAGAGGGGGCAGCAGCCAGCAGCTAGGCCTCCTTTTTGTGGAATGTCTGAGGCTGTAATGCAAGTGTCTGCAATAAAGTCGTGGTTGTGCTAGTACTTATAGCAAAGTGGGGGCACTCTACTTTGAAGTGTCGTAGTTACTACGTTCAATTTCATATGAAATCGTGTAGGAATTTTGAACTCAGTTCAATTTTACAGAAAAACACAGGACTCGGATCATTTTCCCATGTTCCAATGGGTGCTAAAATAGGGGAGAAAAAGCAGTAGTGAGAAATGATAAAAGTCCAAATTTCACAAGTGATGAGCAAGCAAGTTTTGCCTATACATAGATCCTGTTTGGATCCTTTCGGTTTTTGCCAGTTTTTAAGAATATGGATTTTTAGAAACTGGGTGGGATCCAAACATGACATTTTTTGTCAGATTATTAAAAAACATGAAGCTATTAATACTTAGCTTTTGCCAGTTTGTTGTGACCCATGGAGGTATAAATAAAGTTAGATTTTTAAAAAAATAGGAGAACCAAACGCCCTCACCAAAGTTTTTTATTAGAATCCAGATTTTAGAAACTAGAGGCAAAAGCTGGATTTTAAGAATCCGAAACCGATCCAAACATGGCCATAACTGTTGCCAAGAAGAGCATTTGTCAATGCAAGATTGCAAGGCCTGTAGGCTGCAGCTTATCCCCTTTTCTTCCGACTCCCAAGACCAGCAGCTGGCCTGCAGAAGAGCGCGAGCACGCGCAACTGAATTTGGTTGCTGCTGTCGTGTACCTTTCATCAGGTCCGATAACAGCAACCAGAGTCGAGAGCGAGAGATTTGGACACGAGAATTGGTAAAGCGGCCAAGGGAAGCAGCAGGTCGCTTTAGCTCTGCCCTCAAGCTGAAGATTCCCCCCGTCGGTCAAACGCTGATGCGGCAAAAAGCAGGGATTTGGCCTTTTCCCCAGAGAAGAAGATTAGGTACTTGTAGCATGGCTCATGTAGTAATCATCATGGTGATGAGCTTAGCCTTGCTCTAAATGAATGAATGGATGGATGAGTATACAAATACCCAGCAGCCGGTTTTCATTCGTCCGGAACTAGCATCGCCTGCTCCAACAGCAAAGAAACAAGCAAGTAGGAGTCGTAAAGAACGGAGAGCCGCTGTTGCTGAGTGCATGCGTGCTTCAGCTGTCGTGCTTGTCCTGTCTGTCCGATTCGGCAAACGGATGCCGGTCTGGGATGAACTAAACAATCACCTACCAGTCACCAGTGACCAGTGTGTGTGTGTGGGTGGGTGGGGGGCGGTTTGATTGGTTCCATCCCTTAAAACGTAGCGGCTCCTAAAGTTTAGCGACCTCTGTTCAGTGACCCCTGTTTAGTTGTCCCCGCTAGAGACAACTGAACCAGCTATTCCATGTATAATTTAGTCACTTTTAGCTACTGCTTGGAGGCTAAGGCATTGTTTAAATTCAAAGTGTAAAGTTTGGGTGTTGTGTCGCATGGGGTAATTGGATACTAATAAAAAAACAAATTACAGAATCCGTTAGTAATATGCGAGAGAAATTTATTAAGCCTAAACAATCCGTTATTAGCACATGTGTTACTGTAGCACCACGTTGTCAAATCTTGGACTAATTAGGTTTAAAAGATTTGTCTCGTAAATTAGTCACAAACTGTGCAATTAGTTATTTTTTAGTCTATATTTAATAATCCATGCATGTGTCCAAATATTCGATGGGATAGAAGTAAATTTTAGAAGGAGAAACTAAATCAGGCCTAAAAGCCACTAAACTTTAGTGGAGGTATTTGACATTTTAATGACTAAAAATAACTAAACTTTAGTAGGGTAAATCAAACATGCGTTGGCCTGCCTGTGAGCTGAAGACGAAAGAATTGTGAGAGGGGGTGGGAGTAGTGGCGACAAGCGGGACCGGACAGGCATCCCCAGCCAGCGCAAGGTCCAGGCCGCCCGCGCCGCTGGTGGCATGGCATTGGCATCTCCATGACCATCCATCTCCGTCTGTGCGCATGCGTGTTGACCGGCCCAGTGCCTGCATGGACGGACGCATGGACCAACGGCTCTCTGCAAGTGAATCTTTCTGCTCTGCAGACTGCTTGAGCGTGACATTTGTAACAGTCAGGCGATCAGACGAGACGGTGTGGTGGTCGGACGGCCGGAGGACTCAGGACGGCGTCACGTGCGCCGCCGTGGATCTATGGATTAAACCGGATCGCATACGAACGGATATCACTTATATTATATTTATTTTCATATTTCTATTCGGATTTAGATTCGGACACGGATAGCGTTCGAATACATATACGAATACGAATTGACTCGGTTATGGATACGAATAATGAGTATCGAATACGGTATGATTCGGATTCGGTCGGATACAAATATCTATTCGGTCATTTGTTTATCCGACATAGTGATAGTAACATTATTCACGAATCTCACACATCTCTCTTATAGTTTATGAAACTATCAGAGAGATGTAAATTTTGTGAATAATGTTACTACCACAATCTCGGATGAACAAATGACCAAAATAAAAATTGTAGATCTTGAGGAGTTTTACAACTTTTATGTTCATGACTTTTTCAGCTGAAATCATTTATTGTTTGAAAATGACGTTTGAAGTTGCTATTTTTTGAAATTCAAAATTCAAATAGATAGAATAAGTCACATGAAAAGATGAACACAATAATAGCTATAAGAACATAATAAATTGATAGAACATGATTTTAGAAAATTTTAGAAAAAAAAATTATCAAATTTGAAGTTAGTACGAGGAAGAAAAACCAGTTACAAGTTTTAGTCAAAGATTAAAAAGAGAAATAGACGTTCTTTAACCATTTCGAAATTGAAATTCAAATAGCATTTTGAAGCACTAAATGATTTCAAATGAAAAAGTTGTAAACAAGAAAGTTTCATAACTTTTTGAGATCTACAATTTTTATTTTGATCATTTCTCCATCCAAGGTCGTTTGAATAATATCCGAATAATATCCGTTTGAATAATATCCAGATATATCCGATACTTAACCGGATTATCCGATATCCGCCGGATATCGATGATATTACATTCGTATTTGATATCCGTCTAAGATATCCATTTTATTATCCGTATCCGAAAAAAATTACGGATATCCGAGTAACTATCCAGATAAGTGTTCATATTTGTTCGGTCGAACGGACGGTCGAATAAATATCCGTACCGTTTTCATCCATACATGGATCGGATGGAGGTCGGGTGGCCGGGGTTCTGTTCGACCGTTCTGTGTCTCAACGTTGAAGGCCCCGAAGCTCATTTCGTGCGGCGGATGAACATCGTCGCCATCACGCATTCAGACTAGAACCCCGAACCGGAACGCGGATCGGAGACGGAGAGGATGGACGGACGTTCTTCCCCGGTGTCGGTGTGTTCAATTTCCAGCAGGCCGATCGCGCGACGGCCATTGTCGGAATCGTCGTCGTCGCCCCTGCTGGTTCACCGCCATTCGCTTGAACTTATCAGCCGGCTTATCAGCTAGAATCTATAGTATTTTTCTCCCGCAACACATGAGTTTCAGACGGCTGCCGAACAGGACAGGCTGGAACCCGTTTGCGATTCCAAGCTGAATTGAAACTTGAAACAGGCTGGAGCTGGGCGCCTGAATCAGGGCGCGTTTAGATCCAAATTTTTTTAGGTTTGGCTACTGTGGCACTTTCGTTTGTATTCGGCAATTAGTGTCTAATTATGGATTAATTAGGTTCGAAAGTTTCGTCTCGCGATTTCTCACCCAACTGTGTAATTAGGGTTTTTTTTTCGTCTACATTTAGTACTCCATGCATATACCGTAAAATTCGATGTGATTGATACTGCGCAAAAATTTTTGGGTTTTGGGAGGAACTAAGGGCATGTTTAGATTCTAAAAAATTTTGCGCAGTGCCCGTCACATCGAATCTTGCGGCATATGAAAGGAGTATTAAATGTAG